TTTTACCGATTTTTTTAATGCTTACTATAAAAGGAGAATTATAAGAAAAAACACTTCTAACAGCAACCTTATCGCTTCCTTTGCTATCTTTTAGCACTGAAAAAGTATAACCGATTTGTCCCGGATTTTTTCGGGCAATTACAGTGCCTTTAAAATGGGTCAACCGATATTTTGGTTTCTCGTCTTTTGAACTTTTTTCATTTTTATTAAAATTTTTAGTAGTAATTTCTACTTTGTCACCGACTTGCAAAGAAGGCAGGTCAGTGCGAAAATATTCTTTGGTTATATCACGGATAGCATCCATAATATTATTTTTTACCAAAAACTAGCCAAGAGCAACCAAACTCAAACTTATTTTTTTTAATTGAGGCAAGATAAATAATCTATGATTTTCCTTATAAATTAATAATCATTCTCAATTTTACATTAAAAATAATATATTATCAGTAGAACAATTTTGTCAAGTGTCAAAAAACCTCTTAATAAGCAAGAAAACTCAAGTGGTAATCTGCTAGTGGAAGTAATCCGTCGCCATATCTTAAATAATGATAACGAGTTAAAAAATAATACTCTTTATTTAGCGAACGAAAACATGACGTCTGCGGAACTAGGAAAAATTATTGGTCGGCCAGTCAGCGAAATTATTGCTTTTTTTTGAAATCAAGGGCAAAGCATCAGCCGTAATCAAGCATTAACTGACGGCTTATTAAGCGATTATTGCCGTAGTATTAATATCAGAGTAAAAAAAAAAGGTGAGTTAGATTTTCGTCAGATTATTCAAGAATATTCGCAGAAAAGTCAACCCCAAGGAAGCTTGATGAACCGTCCACCCATTGTTAGCATCATGGGCCATATCGACCACGGCAAAACTACTTTATTAGACACTATTCGCCAAACCCAAGTCCAAAAAAAGGAGGCTGGTGGTATAACCCAAAAAGTTAGTGTTTCCCAGGCAGAATTTCAGGGTCAAAAAATTACTTTTTTGGATACTCCTGGACACAGCGACTTTATTAAAATGCGGCAGAGAGGAATCTCCCTGACGGACCTGGTAGTCCTAGTAATTGACGCCAAAGACGGAATAATGTCTCAAACCGCTGAAATTATTGATTATCTTCATAATTATCAATTGCCTACGCTTGTTTTCATTAATCACAAAAAACCTAGTGAAACAGACAACGAAACTAATTTAAATCGGATACGAACCCAATTACAGGAAAAAGAATTGACCCCTCTCGAATGAGGCGGAGAAATAATTGTGGTTTCTGGCAACGCCAAAGAAAAAGCTAGTGTTAATCACCTGCTCGAAAATGTTCTACTTTTTGCCGATTTTAAATCCCATCCCCATAACCCGGCCCAAGGAGTAGTAATTGATAGTTTTCTTCACCCGCAAACCGGTTCTCAAATAAATGAATTATTGATTCAAGACGGAACCCTAAAAATTAAGGATAGCATTTTCCTCAATGGTAAATTTGGTTCGGTCAAAATAATGTCTGATATTCAAGGCCAGAGAAGCACCACTGCCCAGCCGAGCGATATAGTGCAAGTAGTGGGCCTGAATATTCCCGCCGAATTAGGCGACCGATTTTTAGTGCTAAATGACGAAAAAGCCGCAGCCAAAATAGAACAAGAATTAGCCCATTATTGAGAAAAAAAGAAAAAAATTACTCCAACGCCCCCCTCCAGCAAGAAAAAAAATGTTAATTTAGTCCTGGTTGCCGATAGCCAAAATAGTCTGGAAGCCCTCACTGAATTAGTGAAAAAAAAGAATGCTCTTCATTGTAACCTTTCCGTAGTCTACAAAGCGGTGGGAAATTTAAACAGCTTTGCCCTGGATTTAACGAAAATTACTAATAGCCAGGTTTTAATATTTGGTTATCAACCTCCTCAATCTCAGATAAAGATATTGAAAGAAAATAATATTTCTTTTTTTAGCAGCAAAATTATCTATGAAATTGGGGAAAAATTGGACCAAATTATTGATAGTCAACAAGAAATAGAAGAAGTTGAGGAAATCGTGGGAACAGCGGTCGTGAAAGTAGTTTTTGAATTCTCCAAAGGCAATATTGCGGGTTGTCAAGTAACTGAGGGCAAAATTAGCCGTAATAAACGGGTTTATGTGTTGCGTGGTAAAGAAGCCCAGAAAATTTTCACCGGTGAAATTAAAAGTTTAGAGAGCAACAAAGTGGAAAAAAACGAAGTCAGCAGTGGTCAAGAGTGCGGAATCGTTCTCAAAGGATTCAATAATTTTCAAGAAGGAGATAAA